ATGGTAAACACGGCAGATTCCGCGGGGATAGGAGCGGCGCATAGCCGTCATCGCAGCTCACGCATTCTTCCAGCATCCCTCCCCCGTCCGCGGAGAGGGGAAGGGAAATGTACCGGACGGGCCAACGCTGCCCAGGGGGCGATCGGTCCTCACTATTTGTGAGAACAATACCATATTTGGCGCCGGCTGGACTGGACTTAAGGCGTCGGTGCCTCTTGAAACGGATATTACGCCAGAGCTCGTCAAGGTTGCGACCAAAGGGCTGTCCTAGTTCGAGAAACTACACTGGACTCTTCAGCTTCCGTGATTCATCATATTTTTTTTTTTAGCCCGGAAATAACATCCAAAGGGCAAAAGATGGTGCTTTTTTAATCCGCTTGTTAGCAATGACTGGAGTGAAGTGTTTTTTTTTTTTTATTGTGACCATGAATTTCAAGTGCCGAATAGCTGCAAGAAGGACCAATCGGTAAATTGCAATGAAAACGATTCAGCGGGGATCAGTTAGTCTCCCAACTCTCCGTTTATTTTCCACTCCCTGCTATACAAGTTTGGTGTTTCACCTCGACGAATTACATCGCCTACCTGCCACTACGGTTTCCATGTCCTTGATTGGGCACAGTCTACACGAAATATCGCGACTAGATTCGTCAACAGGTGTGGCCCGTCCGTCACGAAAGGAAATTATTTGACCTTGCAGCTGGCTAAGGAGCGGCCGACGTAGATATGTTGTTTCCATAATTCGATCATTTGCATATGACAATCTAGGTGCAACAGCTGCCCGACAATGACTTGCACAATGACTCGGCAAATAGTTCGTCAGAGCAGTGAACGTTTTAGTGATCGTCACTGGTTGTTTACATATTAAAATTCCAGGATAGGTCGTTGAAATATCGATGAGCGGTGAGTGATAAATTGAAACGTCAGAAGCCGAACGTCAGAAAGACTGCCAGAGAATGTGGGGAAACCTCCGGAAGAATGGCATACATTTATTAGCATGCATTGTATTGACTTTGATGTAATCAATAGGGTGCTCGAAGTACGAAGGCTGATACCCGTTTTGCATTTAGTATGGAATAAGAGCGTTTAGACGTTTACTCTAATTCCCTACAAATTTCAACCGTCGAATAAGCACTGAGGCCAGCTAAAAGGATACTGCGATTTCGGGCTTTCCGGCCAAATAATTAAAATCATGTGAGGAGGAGTGGAACAGTCACAACTCACACGCCCAAAGGCCGCATCGACATGATGTTGCTTCTAATGAATTAATCCCGACCACATGGCACCTATAAACAATGTAGGCGACGGCGGTGCCCTCGAAGGCCCTCCGTGGATGATTGATTTTTATGATACCAAATTTTCCATATCTGAAGTGAATACGGTTGAAATGTCTGGATATATTGAGCTCTCCATTGCATTTCAAAAACTTCGCTCTATGTAGATAGGCGCTAAACCGCCGCAGTAATGCGAAAATAACGCCGGCACCGTCACCTGGTGGCAGCCTTCGTGGCGCAGCGGACGCCAGGTGTCGCTGTGTGCCGGTATGTGCAACAGGAGGATCCTCGCCAATCAAATGCCCTGCTATAGCAAACAGTGAAATGGAGGGTGGTTCTAGTAAAAAAGGTGGAATCCATCATACGTATGGTAGCAGCGTTCGAACAATATAGGTGCAAAAAGGATGAAACTTCCACTTAAATGAGTTCAACTTTCGTTTGTCTGTGGAACGTTTTGCCGTTTCGCCTTCGCAAAAGAATCGAGAAGAGGCACATCGGCAATTACATCGAGACCGCAGCTGATCTACCATCACCATATAGGTTCACCTCACACCAGACTCGGGAATCCTGAAAGGAACGACGCTCCCCCCCCCCCCCCCCCCCCTCGAGCACCGAGGGCATCTGACAGTGCACTTTGCGTCCCACTCTGAAAACCGCACACAGATGTCGCTGCTGTACTCACCGGTGTCGATACCGTCCGGCGGCTCCAGTTTCTCCTGTTTGATGGTGTGGCAGGGGGCGCTGGCGGTGCGGCTGACGGCGGCGCGCGGCGGCACAGAGCCGAACGGAGGAGGCTCGGCGGCGAAGGACGGAGGTGAGGTGACACTGGACATACACTGCGTCGGCCGGCTCTTCGCGCCAGACGACTCCAACAGACCTGCGGCGGACGGACGGGTGTCAGAGTACGCTACTGTACCGGACCGGGTCAGCTACTTGTTCTGGACACCTTACACGTCCTTTGAAATATCACATGCCAAGTGATCACTATATCCTATCCTCTGTGAAGCGTTTTCAGTCCTCGGACCGCCCCTAGTATCACTGCTGACCCCAGGCAGAGACTCACTAGCTAGCAGGGGGTTGTTGACGGCGATGGAGCGTCGGGCGGGGTCGGCGGCCGATAGTCGCTCCCGACACGGTAGTTCACATGTCCGGTCCGGCTCGTCCTGGAAACAAAGAATGGGACGAGTCCGGTTTTAAGGAGCCGTTGGTGATCTGTCAGGGTGACTTGAGGTCGTCTGAGGTTACTCGAAGCCATTGGAGGTCATTGGAGGCTACTTGAAGTCATTGGAGGACTCGTGTCTATTTTAGGCATCTCCCGTGACGTACCCTTATTACGTACGAGCGAAAAGAGCTCCCGCTGCCGGAAAAGCCCGCTGTGACGCCATTCCACCTCACCTTGACCTTGATGTGAAGCTGCTGCAGCTGGGGGGTGAGCTCCCCGGGCGCCGACAGCTGCCGACGCATCCGCATTCGCCGCTCATTGACGGACATGCCGCCCTCTGCCATTAGTTCGCCCACCTGCCGGGAGAGGCGCCACCGGCGCACGGCGCGTCAGTTCACCGCTCAAACAAATCCCCCTCACATTGACGTCACTGAGGGATCAGCTGATTTTCCGGCAGCCACCGCGGCGACGAGCCACCACTATTGGTGTCACTCGGTCAGGGTCACCGTCAGCTACTGTTTACTCCACGAGCTAACCCGCCCCGCCCCTCTCCGACCCGTCCCCACCCGAGCCCTTCTGACGCTTTTCGGCGAATCCAGCCTCACTGGAAGGTACCCAGGCCTCACTGGATGTCAGTTTTGTGCCAGGAGTGACGTTGTTAATAACAAACACATCCGGTCCGGTGTCCGAGGGCCGCACTGGTAACGGTTGCCAGATTATCGTGTAATGTGGGTCAGTGTCACACGCCCTGGCTGATACTTTTCGTCGTAGTTCTCATTTTTATCACACATTCATCATTCCATTCGGCATTCAGTGTGACAAGCAATCCAGTCCCAAGTCCACTCCATGTCCATTTGCCCATCTAAATGTCTCCGACACGGACGGTTTTTATACTAGCTCTACCTCCCGATCGTCCAATAAATGTAACATCTTTATCCACAATCCTACCACACTGCATCTATACCTGAGTACTCCTTCCACCTACCCGATATTCGGAGAGCAGGTTGCCCAGGTCGAAGTCGAGGCTGACGCTGGTGGAGGCGCTGAACAGCTGGCGCGCTGCGTCTGAGTTGAAGGTCTCCTCGATGGCCCCCAGGTCGTTGGTGGGGTCCACCAGCGGGGGGTAGCCGGGGCCGGCCGGCAGTGGCTCCTCCTCCAGAATGGCGTGCTGGAATGGTCACTGGGAGGTGACGCGCGGCCAGGGGGAGCCGAGGTACAAGCCGGATGTTACGTTATGTGGCGATGGCTGTGCGTAGTAACTAGTAAGTTAGTCAAACGATTATTTACGAGTGCTCTGATTTTAATCGTTCATCAATGTGCTCAGATGAGTTGAAAGTGGCCATAAAAAATTAATAGTGCTACTTCTTGAAGATAAAGCAATCACTGGCGGAGGTAGGTTAGCGTAAGAGAATGCCATTGACAAGTTTTCAACGTTTAGGTAAAGCCTTTCACACACTGATAGGGCCCGAATACTAAAAGCCTATTTCTTTAATAGATGGGCATGGTCTGTGTCTCTTAAATCCGCCAGTGAGCGCCGCATTACCAGCTTACGATGGCGCTAAACTTCCTTCTCTTCCGCAGTTGTAATTGGGCGGCCTGGGCCCAGTCCTACACAATGATCTCTGTCACCAGCTGGCGCTTACCACATGCTCCTCTGTGTTCATGTTTGTGTCGATGTCTGTCTCGGCGAAGCTCACCGGGCCGCCGCCTCCTGCCAGCCTCTCGCACGGGAAAGTCCCGGGCGGCGCCGGCGGCTGCGGGGGCGGCTGCGGCGGTGGCGGCGGCGGGGGCGGCGGCGGTGGAGGCGGCGGCTGCTTGGCATCCACGTGGTAGTCCAGCTGGTTGGTCAACCAGGACATCAGGTCGTCATCAGAGTTGGTTGGCATCATGTTGTCTCCGCACTCAGATCAGACTGCCGGTAGAGGGCAGGTCGGTCGTCAGTGGGTGAGCGAGAAGCTAGCGAGCGAACGATATTTAGCGTTGACGAAGCTCTGCCCTGCCACAAGATACAAGTGAGTCAGTGTGTCAGTGTGTTCAGGTCATAAAAATCATGACGATTTTATTTTTGTAAATAGCATGATGATAACGTCAACTTCACACTGAATCATGCAAAACATTGCAACCACAAGGTGCAGCAAGCTATGCATATTGTATGATACCATGTCACCTACTGTCTAGACATGATCAAATATGTAATACTTCTCTCATCACCCTGCTCACCTTCCAAGAAGCAGCTGTTTCGGATATCGGCGATAATCACATCACCAATCTGTAAAACGAAAAAGAACATGTCAAATATTCGGGCATTTGTCATGAAAAAGGATAACGACGGTCCTATTTTCGATTAAGTTTAATAGGTAAACAAATTTAAATCCTAACACAAAAATCAACGCCATCGACCATCAAGCCCTTGCAACCCAATAGGAGCAAATTCTCAAAACCGCTTCGCAAGGAGCAGCCTCCTCGCGGGATTGCGTTGTGCTGCCACCTATGCCCCTTGGAACCTATTGTATGTATAATCAGCGCAAGGTGGCAGCACCAGACGGTATGATAAGGTCGGGCAGTGAGCAATGCTCGAACAAGTACAAAATGGCGGAATAGATATGACGTCTCATCTGAACTTCAGAAAGTATCAGTTTCTTTATCTGTAATTCTTTATAAAAACGGTCTAATATTTAAAAAAAGATATTGACAGAATTAAATAAAAAGGCGTAAATTAAAAAATGCATGAATAATTTATTATGACGTCATTTCTTGTAATATCCGTTTTGCCGCCAAGAGACGAGGAGCATTTGTCAACAAACATGTCAGCGCCCGGTGAGAGCGGTGGGAGCTGTGATGAGTTAGACCCGGAATCAGAAAATTTTGATTCTTCACGGGCTTTGTATTCAGAAAAGGCAGAACCGCCGTGTAAAAATGTTCGTGTCTATGATAACCTTCAACAATATGAAAGCTTCATCAAGGCGGCTCAGCAAGGAACATTGCGCAAGAGGCTGCAAACCCAGCAGGTGGGTAAACTGAAACAGTCACAGTTAAATGTATTATTTCCTTTGGAGTCACTTACCATTTGAATAATGTCATGATGCAAATAATCAAGATCAGACTTATAGCATGACACCTTTTAATATGCCTTGTACATTGGTATTAATAAAGTTGATAATTTTGCACTTGAGATAAGGGAATCAATGCGTTTTGTGTGGATACCTATCATCCGGATGTGTGATTCATCTTTTATTGAATCAGGCCCTCTTATTCTATTTATTCCATTGAATAGCATAGCCTGTCGAGAAGTGGAAAGAAAGGGACATTAGGTTCATTCGGCCTGAAGCTGACGTTGCAAGGCCCCTCCAGCTCGAGTTGTTCCAGCTTGTCCAGCCAGACTGCAAAGCATGACAATGATGATAACTTACTGCACCAGCTGGAGCTACACATCTCAACCGACATGCACCAACCAGGCTGGATATTAGGTGTCATATTTTGCAAACGAGGCTGAAAATTGAGCACCATTTGGTATTCCGCACCAATTAAAGTCAAGAATTTGTGCCATAGATATAAGAAATATTTGGGCCTAAATTAATGACCAAGTCTGTCCTGATGGGATTGGCATGTCACAATTGTAATTACTGGTCACCCAGTTTGCCTGGTTAGGATAATTGTTGGCACTGATGGCAAAATTTAAGCATAATCAAGGATGTGGATGTCTTGATCTTGTGAATAGAAAGTCGGAATTCATTAATTTTATTTTTAAAAAGATCATTTGTAAGCTGTGGTGCATGAATATGAAGTTAACTTTTCTTGGTTTTCAGCATTCTGAAGTGCAAGTGATGCACAAATCAATAAAGAAATTTATTGTATGACTAACATGAATGAATGGATATTTATGTTTTGAAAACAGCCTTCAGCAAGAAGATTTCATATAATGAATAGCTGCCGACTTTTTTTAGTCCAATCAGCTCTTATTGCTCATAGTATTGTATTCATTCTACAGCTGAAGGTAGACAGTTCCATCAATTGTAAAAATATATATAACTGCATCTCTGCTATGTTGCAGGCCAATCGAGAGCGGCGGCAGGCTGAGGCGGCTGGGGAGACGTTCCCCACCGCTGGACCGTCCACAGGAGCGATGGGCGGCGGTGACGGCGCGGGCGGGAAGCGCTTCATCGTGCCCGGCCGGCGCTTCACCGAGGACCAGGGTACTGGCTGGGGATAGGCTAGGCAGTAGGAGGTAGGAGGATCATGGAAGGCGGTGTCTTGTGAAAGTTGAGATGGTTAGGTGCGTGGATTGGATGGTGACAAAGAGGGATGACTATTGATTAACCTCGTTTTTACAGAAGGATAGGTCTTTTAAGCAGCTGAAAGGGCAACAGCAGAGGGGACACTTAAGGGCAATCATGATTCACCAGTATCGAAGCAACTAGGGCCAGAGGGTTCTGATGTTTTAAGCTATCTAGAGCACCTTGTAAATGTTGGGTATTTATATGCAAAGGATATGACAACCCTGCGCTAACAAAATTTAATAAGTCGTGGCCCAACACGACTGCGACAGATCAATGGACAGATCTCTGACTCGGATGATCCGTCTGCCGACATTTTAGGTGAATTAACCTCAGTGAGGATGCTTCATTAATGCGTACATTTTAATTCACTGTATCTGACAGCCGGGGAGAGTGGGCGGGCTATAAATGTAACGATACCGTACCCCGACGCCATTCCATTGCACATGGATATATTCAACGACATATCATCAGCAACATGTGTCGCGAATGCACACGAGCGTTAACATCAACCGCACGGCAGCTGAACTGAGTAGGGACCATCCGCGGTTCTGGTTACTCTGCTGCCGGTCAGATTTAGCTTGTCGTTTGTACAGCATTTGACTGTAGTAATGAGTCTATAATGTCACAGATGTGACTCTGATATGTAAGCGTGACTGTTCGAGCGTGAAGCAGCAACCACAGCTGGTTTTCGATGTATGCTAGTCTCTGATGCCGGATAAAGCTTATGACAGGCATCTTTCATGGGCGCCAACCCATCATCCCTTCTTTTCTTGTGTGTCGTCAGGGAGTTGTTTTGTGTTGACTGTCGGTTCTTCACTCCCCTCCCGCATTGGCCGGTGTCTTTATTGGGTGACTGCGGGCACTGACTAGGCGTCCGTCCGCCGTTACAACCGACGTTCGGGGAACTGTGGGAGCTGATTTGGTCCACTACTCGTCCTGTCTCATGCCCGATATCTGCCCATGATACCCCAGGTAGTGACCTGCCCCTGCCCATGACACCTCTTTTAGTGACCATCACGGTGTCTTCCCCAGCCCCCTGTGATCTGACTCCACCACCCTCCCTCAGCGCCGGTGAGCCGCCCCAAGAAGCAGCTGCGATCGGTTCTGACACGGATGGAGAAAGCCATCCCCGGCCCATGCGGACGGCTCAAGTGGTACATGGACCAGCGCGTCAAGGTCAAGGTAGGCGATCGATACCCGGCAGAGCCGCTGCTGAGTGGCGCTGGCGAGCCCCCGACCGGCGCCATGAAGGGTTGTACTTCACAGGGACGAATGGAGGCAGGATCGTGAATGTTTTGTGTGGTTTGAAGGGATGCGTACTTGTACGGTGTGGACTGGTTGCCTTGGGAGTGTGTTGGGTGTCAAGTAGGTCAGTTAACCCTTTGGTAGGGACGCTTTTCGCAGTAAAAACGCGCCGTTTTCAGAGTTCGTTCCGGGTGACATGACCTTTGAATTCGAGTACCTGCGCAGTTTTATGACCGTGGCGGAGCCAGCAAATCAGACTCGCAGGGGCGGGCACGACCAGTGGTGGTTATTGATCTGCACAAGTTGCTAGGATATTGAAATCCTAGGGCTCTTTTTACTCTAAAAAGCCATAGCAATTAATATTTTACCTGGCTGTATGAACTTAATCATGTTCAGAGCTATGCCCGCCCAGAGGCACTCAGTAACGAAGTGATCGGGAATATTATCTTGCACTGCATTTATTCTACCTTGCGGCTTCATCTCATTCCGGGACAGCTGGCTTTTTCATGACCTCCGCAACCAGTGCTTCAGTGTTCAATCCAATCAGATCAGAGACCAATGTGCGACAGTGCGGCGTTTTATGCGAATTGTTTCCATCTGCGACCGCCGCCGGCACGGTTCCCCGCCCCCACTACCTGCGAGTGCGGCCTTAGTTCCGGGTTCACAGCGTCTGGCCTCATCGATTGCCGCTGCGGCCGACGGAGTAGTTCGCGCCGCGCTCCATAGATGGCGGGCGCTACCAAAACAAACGCTCAACAGGTGCGAGAGAGGAGTGGACATGCGCCGCCGTTCTGATGGGAGAGGGGAGGGGGAAGCAGAGCGAGACAGCAGCCAATTAGTTTCCAGGGAATCCCTGACGATATGGCGCTGTTCGAGCTCGTCCCCGACCCGGTGTGAGCGCCCGGGGCTGGCCGTCTCCTCTCCCTGACGACCGCCGGTCGCGGGGGTCACAGGAAGGAGCGGTATTGTGACAGGCGGCCGCTGAGCCTTTGGCGTGCGACTCTGCACACTGAGCGCCGATTGAATGCCGGGCCGGGTGAGACGCCGCCGCGGCCTGGTCGGTTACCATGACGACCACAGGTAATCGGAGCGCGGCCGGGCTGTCGCCGGGCCCTCGGCCGGCCGTGTGCTGCCGTGGCACTGAGCTGTGATCGCTGCCCGCTCGGCGGCACCCGCCAGTCATCACAACCGCGCGCCAAACGCGGCGGACAGTGCCCGTCTCGACGAGCCGGCCGCCGGAGCCGCCTGCCGGAGCTGCTGATAACGACAGGTGTAACGCGACACCCCGGACCAACTGCTGGCTGGGCAGTGGACGGACCCGCCGCTGACAGTCGTGTCCCCCTCTCCTCCCCCACGTGTCCCCTCCGACCCCCTCCCCCCGAACTCCCCGCCCGGCTCTCCACCGGACTAACCCGCCCGACTAACCCGCCCGTTCCCCGCCCACAGGTATACACGAGAAACTTTGGCCGGGTGCGCGGCGTGCTCACAGGCTACATCGTGGCCTTTGATAAACACTGGAACCTCTGTTTGGAAGATGTCGATGAAGTCTACCAGAAGAAGGTGCGACGGAAGAGCTGCTTTCTCGGTACGTAATGCCTCGGTCTAAACTCTAAGAAAATGGGTAGGGTATCGAAGAGGCGACTGTCGCTGGACGTATCCTAGTGATTGAGCACTGTTCGGCTGCCTTCAGTTTTCAGTTCGATGTTGATTGGCTGTTTTTTCTCTCTTTAGTGGAGTCTAGGTAGCTATGTAAAATTCCCACCTGATAATGCTGAATCAAAATGGCCCTAGTGTCACAATATGGTCACCAAACTACAAGATGTGTAACGACCCTTTTTCCCCGACACGTGTGTAGCTAATGAAGTTACATGACAGCTCGATAAAGTACCGTTGTACTGCTTCCAACCCTTCCCTCCAATCAGAGCCACCTAAACAATGACATCACCTGTCCTGCCGTCACTCAGCCCGGACCCGTGTCTCGTCTCTGTGTCGACTGCCCCGGCCCGGCGGACCCGGGTCCTTGGCGCGTGTTGTGTGCTGTGTCCTCGGCGGGGTGTCCCGCTGCGCTGGGGAGGGGAGGTGCCGCCCGGGTGAGCCTAGAGGTCACCCGCCAGAGGCCCGGTCAAGTACGGCGGCGGGTGTCACGGTCCCGACCCGGGTGCGGAGGAAGGGAGTGTGGCGGTCGGTGGTCTGAGTAGCGCCCGCAGACCTATTATGTTTGCTGAATGGATGCGTGAGCGAAAAAGGGCTTCTGAGTTGGGAAGTTTGAAGTGTGGGTAGATATGTCCTTTTTGCCGCTTATGGCAGTGACCAATAATAGTTTTGTATGTAAAATTTCGGTGGTGTGACAAATGCTGCCTAACGAGGTCCCAGCACCTTCAAATAATTAATTTAACTGTGGCTGTCACTTTGGCTGTTGTAAATTAGGTCCTTTCCGGACATAACCAATTTGGTAGCATCTCGGTCAGATGAGTTCTACTATACACAGAACAGTGTGGACAATTTGTTCTCGTTCAAAAGTAACATTTGAATGTTTGACTCAGTTCAGGACACTTCAAAATAGATAAGGACCATCCTCTACTATTGCATCGTTATTGCTTCACCGAGACGGAACCATCGTAGGTCCAGTCCGTGCTCCTCACAAGCAGAGCAGCAAGAAGTAACCACTCGACATAACTTTTTCCCTTCTCCACCAAAACTTTTACCTCTTATCCACCAGTTGTGCGTGCCATTAGTCGCCACTCTTGTCTCCCTGGGCTGTGGTCTCCAGAGAGCCCCATCCGTCCGCCAGGTGGCGCTGCGTCGCGCGCGCGCGGGCCGTTTTCACCCGTCTCCGAGCTGTGTGAGCGACGGCGCTCCATAAAAATACGGTGCGACCTTGACCGACTTGCAGCGCCGGGTTTTGGGTCAGTGTTAAGGCTGGCGCGGTGGCCGGGCCGCGACGCTCGCCGGTCTGGTCGCGCGCAGACCGTCTGGTGGTCGTTGCACGTCGCGGCTGAGATGATCCAGCGGCGGATCTTTGAACGAGTGGAGGACTGAGAGAGGGGCGCGGGTCAGAGGGGAGGGGAGCGGAGTGGTGCGCGCGGCGGACGGGGTTATAGGGTACGCGCATACGCGCTCTAAAGCTGTACAAGGTTGTCACTCTAAAACGGGGGCGGCTGTCATCATCGGGTGGTGCAGAGTGGTGCAGACAGGGCGCCCCACTGCCCCGCGGCCCGTCCGTCCGTGCGTCTGTCGGTCGTTGGGTCGGATCGGCACTTCGCGGTATTTCACTTTCACTGTCGGTCCTACACCTCAACCGTCATACGGCTCGCGTTACGAAAACGATTATCGGTCATAGCTCTGATCCGGGGCGCCGCCTGTCGTTACCGGTCGCAGTATTCTGGGAATAACACGGTTCCCGTCGGCATTTGACTGGTCTGTGACCGGTCACCAATCGCAGGCCAGGCTTTGTAGGTGTCAGGTCACAGTGCCTGCCTCGTGCGGCCCGAAGTGACAGCCGAACGTCGAGCACCGTCAGCACGGGGTCGCGCGGACCTCGCAGCCAGCCTTTTCCTCGATGCGACGCGATAAAATCGTTATGTCTGTTGTGTCACAATGTCCGCAATGTGCCGACTTAGCGATTCGGAGTAGCGACGTGTAGCGAGAAATCCACTGACAAGTGCTGTCTGTGCATGGCGCCGCCTGTCCGCCCCCTGGGCGCGGCATCACATGTGTTACCACGTGAACAACTAGAGCGACGAGGAAAACAAAACAGAACGGGTTATGCCAGCGAGGAGAAGCAACCATGACCTGAATAGATGCTCGATAACCGATCGTGGCGTGCGCCACTCATGCTGGCTGTTGGGAGGTGGGGGGAGGGGGGGGGGGCTAGGGGGCACGCACCGACCCCCTTCGTTCCATAAACCACCGCCGACCTCCCTGTCGGCCACATAGTTCTTTGGGTCTCGACTGACGCGGCTCATGATTGTTTCTCTGAGTAATCTGACAGACCATTTGTCTCGGGGCGGCGCATTTGCCTTTGGCGCTGGCTGGTGATTTATCTCTGAGACACGTGCGATCATTGGCTGCGGCAGATTCCGTCCCGACGATCACTATGTGCGGTGTATCCAGGACTGATGGACTGGCGTCTGGACGATACGCCACAGGCCACTCACAGGGCAGGCTAGGAATCGGTGAGGACAGGCCTACATACATGTGCAAGACGTGCAGATGCCACAACGCAGCTCTGTATGATGTAACTGATAAAGGAATCCCAACGCATCGGCACCATCAGAAGTCATGCGCCTCTCACGCCCCTACATATGATCACCTCGGCGCTCGGTCAGTCGCTCATACCGCCAGATAGCGGCGTATTTCATCCTGTCGCCCATTCATTCTGACAGAGACGTGGCAAACCACCCACAGCGTAACGCGCTTGCAGCTAGCCTGCTGCTCCAGTGCGCTGTGATTCTGTGTCATACACCCTCCATCGGTCTCATACGCAGTCTTACACTCTGTCCCACATTCTGGCTGCGTGCTCCGTGCCATTCGGTCTGGGCTGGCGGTGTGTTTATGCGTGACTGGAGGTTCTCCGCTCGCCCGTCTGTCTGTCGGCCGCGGCCAGTGACCCCCGTTCCTCAGCCGATGTGTGTGCGTGTGTGCGTCCGCCCGCTGCTCGCCCCAGGGAGTCTTATCTGCGGTGATGCGCTCAGTCTCTAGATGGCGGCGACGGACCGTGGGCGGTGGGCGGTTTGCTAGTGGGCGGTGGGCGGGAGAAGTGGGCTTTGGGCGGTGGATTCAGAATCATGCATTGAATTTGATTGAATTTGCCCTTGAATGCGCAACTTTTTGGCAAGTATTATCATGAGAGGGCTTAAATAATACAAATATCAAAGGACAGTTGAGTGAAAGCGAGAACACGCGGCGTGTGAGAAGAGGGAGGTCTGCTGCGCAGTGTTTACTGGAGCTGTTTGGGCGGGGACCTGGGACAGAGTTCATGTAACGACACTGGACGTAAAGGCGAAGGAATGCGGCAGATAGGCGAGGAATTCAGACGGGGGAGGTCCGCTGTGTCTGCTAGACTGCTCTTTGCTGGGAGACGCGTCAGTGCGGGATGCGTTGGCGTTCCAAACACTGCTGGTTCAAGTGTGAGCAGCCGGCGTGCACGCACACTGCACACTGCAGTCATGTATTAACTTATGTATTACAGGACAGGTACAAATCTCTGCCTGCCGATGAATGTTTTATATTATGCATTACAGGACAGGTACAAATCTCTGCCTGCGGTCGAATGTTTTATATTATATTTTACAGGACAGGTACAGATGTCTGCCTGCCGCCGCCGCCCGGGGCGCTCCGCCCGGCCTGGTGGGAAGTGGTACCAGTGACGTATGCTCCGCGGGCCGTGACGAGCCACTGGGCCGCCGGCCGCTCAGATAGTGTCCGTCAGCAGCGACTGCCTCCAGTGCCACCCGTCTATCGGCGCGCCACCTGACGCCCTGTATCGGTTTGTTCCAGGCGACCCAGACGATGTGCAGCTCGACTACCAGCCGGCGCCCACCGACCCGCGGCTGAGACCCAGAGGTCAGGCGCCAGGTCAGGTCAGTGACCCGCTCCGGCTGGTCAGAGGGGCGCCGGAGCGGCGCGGCCGGTCCCCGTCCCCTGACCGAGAGGCGGATAAAGCTGGGGGTGACGGCGCGTCGAAACGGTCGGGTAGTGGTCGGGGAGTTAGTCGTAGTTCACATCAGTCTGAAGATCGTACCTCAGGAGATCCAGATCGAGGAGGCCGGGGCTGTTCTAGCCGCCCTCGCCAACCCGCCGAGGTGGACCCGGAGGTGGCCCGACTGACCGCTCGGATGGCGCTGCTGGAACCGCCGCGCTCCAAGCGTTCTCAGCGCCGGCCGGTGTTCGAGACGGGCCGACGGCACGTGAATCAGCTGTTTGTGCGAGGTGATAACGTGGTGCTGGTGGCTACCGAGGACACAGCCGACGCCGGAGGCGATGACGAAGTGCAGGAGGTGACCGACGATGATGTCCGCGAGGTTCCTGACGATGACGTACAGGTGGTAGAGGCGCAGGTGTGAAGAGCGGTGTTTAGGAGACACGTTCCGGCGAGAATGCGTTGTTTATGAGATCGTGTGAATGAAAGGATGGAGGGAACAGGTGCTTTCATGTGCCATGTTTTTTGTTCGTTGGCCATGACAGTGTGATAACTTGACGGCGGCTAGAAGCTCTGTTCTGTCTCTGGATCTGATTGTTTGGCTGCCGTCGTTGACAGCTTTGTTGACCGCGTTTGTTCTCCAGTCCAGTATCCGAGGTATCCAACTCGTCAGTCGTCCATTCCTGGCTCTCCGAGTGATTCTCCTGCACATTCCATGGTCCCCGGTCATCTCAGTTCGTTCATTCCTCGCTCCTAACGGCGATTGTAGCGGCATCACCGCAGTCCTCGAGTCCATCGGGGTTCACATCTCTCACTGCCACGTCCGCCCATTTCGTCCAGCTGCGCAATGTCTGTGCATTGACTCGGTGTTGCATCAAGAACGGATTACCAATACAAACGTCTGTCCGCCCAGACGGCGACACGCACCGTACCGAGATGTTTTCATTGGCCAGATGGCTGCCGCGGAGACGATGTGGAGCGACGCAGGTGACGCAAGAGCGCTAGCGGCGGAGGTGGCGCGCCGGCGGCATAAGTGCGGCGCGCGGCGTCACGTTGCGCCTCGGACGACTCATTAGGCTAATTACGGCCGGTAACGAAGCGGCGATCTGCCGTGCGCTGGCTGCCGGGAGCACGCCTCTGTTCCGTGAGCGTGGCACGTGCTGGGCGTCCTCCTGCACGGACCGGCGTGGCGCGGCCGATACTGGAGATCGATATGGGATGTGGGTAAATTAGTGGCCGCTGATTGTGGACCGGCGCGGTTCAGGTTCGGCGGCCGGGGAGGTCGAGTTCGCCATTAGTGCTGCCTAGGTTTTGTTATTAGAGATGATTGCAATGGTTGTTATTGGTTACCGGAAAATAGCGGCCTTTCCAGAGGAACTGGTGCATCATACAATTAAGCTTTTACCACAAAGCTTAATATTGTTTTACTTTACTCAGAAAGCTTCAATTTTCAATCACTTTAATTGTGTATTTCATGCATTCGATCAAATTGATGATGAAATTAATTGCGTGATATGTCATATGTAGCAAATCCTTGACAATTGCGCACAGCTCTTTCCAACCCTACAATTGTGCATCGATTCCCCCTGAGCGAGTATATGCAACATATGCCATGTTGCTGTCAGTTGCCGACAGTTCTGCGCCGGTGCGATCGGCGCCGTCGGCCGTCGGTCGGTCCTCTCACGCCGGCTGCCTCGTGCCGCGATCGATGCCGCGGACAGGTCAAAGGTCGCGCGCGGCCGCGGTGAGATCAAAGCCCGGCTGCGCGGCGCCGTGCCGACATTTAGCCCGGCCACGTCGGTGTCGCTGCGACTCACGTGTTTCCCACGTGTGTGGGCGGCGCCGACCGACGGCTGCCTGTGGATCCGTTCCCCAGCGGTAATCGAGCATGGCGCTTCCCTGTGGCGCCTACTGGGTCGGTTATTCCCGAATGTTGACTGGCGTCAAGTGGGTGCGGTTGATGTGGATTTTGCGCGGACTTCCGTTTCAGTTGTATGGGCGTCTGTGTTTGGAGCGTTTATGTATCATGGCATACAGGCTTGCGGTAATGTGTGGCTCCACCTCAAGTAGCAAAGAGCAGCGAATTTCAGCCGCTTATGACGTCCATTGGGGCAAAAGTGCGGTTGTCCTTGGCATTTTAGCGGATCGTTTTTGAGAGGAAGAGCGACTCAAACAAGAAACCGTAAAATGCTGGCTAAAGCGCTTAGGACTGGTGGGTTATTCCAGCGTGACGTCACTGGTAAAGAAGCGGTGGGGTATTAGCCCACGTTGAGCGCTTCCCGGGCCCTTCCCAAGCGGCCTCCAGCGTCCCCCTCACAGCACCGGCGGTGGCTGCCACCGCTCCGCTCAATCAATCGACATCAATGAGAATGGCGCAGTCAGACTTCTTCGACAGACGTCCAATGAGTCCTGGGAATTCATTATCCGTTCTGCCCTGAATCCCTTGGCTCATCAGTCCTCGGATCCCAACGCTAGGCTTCTGACCTTCGGCTGTCTGTTCATTGCTAGAAAGAACTGTGACTCCTTTATGACCACAACATGCCTCATATGACTCGTACCGTGTAATCCCTCAGCGCACCGGCCTTCCACTTCAGTTTCCTTGTTCATCTATCCAGTTCAGCCTCGCTTTTTTGGGTTATGGCAGTTACATAACATTCCTTTCTCCACGTATTCGTCACATTCAGACCGACCGGTCTCGTGTCTCCACCAGCTGATCTTCTGTGTCGCCTTCCGCGCATCACTGACGACTCCCTGCGCCTCTCGTCGTACAGTCTCCCCCGCCTAGCGCCGCCGCGCCGAGCCGGTCCGGAGATCCAGCCATGAGCCACTAGCCAGCCCAGCCCCTGGCGGCGCGGCGGCGGTGCGGGCCTCTCGACCGCGGCCGGCGCCGCGCCGATTTGGTAACCGAGTGGCCATGAACGGCTGGCAGTGACCCACTTTCGGCAGTAGAAGTGGTACCAATGTCAGCCGGCCGGTGGCCATGGCCGTCCCGCTCCCCGCCGATGGAGTGCGGTGGCGGCCGCGGAGGCTGGGGCCGCGTGACGAAGAGGCAGTGGTTGTGTGACAACAGCGGCACGACATAACCGCGTGCTTAGTACGCTGTCAGTGGGTAGACAATGGTGGCATGTGATATTTAATGAGCCTGTCTTGATTCCAGAATATAACGCGACGTGGGATTTGATAGCTGGATCCGTGAATGATGGATGTAAGATAGTTCATCCATCTGAATCTTACATGTGTTCATAGCTTAGACATACTAAGCAATATCCGTTGTAAAAAGGACAACGGAAAGGCACCGCTACGCACGTGCGCTGCAGTCAAGGCCGAGGAGTCCGCGACGGTGGCGGTGACGAGCTCCAACTCACAAAGGCAGCCCGACGCAGCTCTTTTTGCGGCGAGATGCGTCCTCTCTCGGTTCGTGGAAGGGACTCATCAGCCAACCTTGCCACCGGCTGGGGCTGCGTCTATCCGGAGCGGCTCTCGGTATCGGAGATGGAGCCGCTGTCAGGGAGCGAGCTGCATCCGCACCCGGTCCACTCGACTCCGAGTCCAGAGCCAGTTATGACCAAATGTCGGAGATGACGGAACGCCTGGGCAATGCGCACTGCGCTGACCCATATCTTCGGGAGTGAAGAGGTTTGCGTAAGGACATGATGTAACCGAGGCCCCGCGACAAAGTCGCAGTTTGAGTTCTGGCTGACACCCTTTTCGCCAGCCCTGCCTGGATATGTTTGGCAATCGATGGATCGTGTATATTTGTTCAGACTGAAGAGGCCTTGCCGGGCGACCGACGGGTGACGTCACGTCTCGTCTGTCCGTCAGCTTGCGTCCTGTTTGGCTCGGCCCGTCTCTGCCCACGATGACGTCATAGGGTGGACTCGACCTACAAACGGCCACCGGGCTGGGAAAGGACGAGACGGCGTCGGTCGTATGAACACCTCGAGCGGTGCATCAACCGGCATTGATGTCACCATTCATCACCTATCATCACCATCCATCATCAGTTATACAGTTATACATCAGTCATCAGTTATATGTAGAAGCTCGTTAGCTAACGACAGCGCGTGTTTAGCGGTGCCGCGTGGTGCCATTTGCGCGGCCATTGGCAGCGTTGTTGACGCTGCGACTCGCGGCCGCCACAGGCCGTCCGCGCCGGCCCGGCCGTGACCCATTGACTGTGACCCAGTGACTGGAGCTCTGGCTGGGCCGTGCTGGCCCGCGCCCGCCGCCGCCGGCCCGCCTGGTGACAGCGACTGTGTTGGTGAGCGTGACCCACCCCGCACGAGCGTCACCGTCACCGCCGCCAACGCCGCGTGGTTTCAAACCACGTCACCAGCCACACCGCCGGCTGTGAAAACCGCTGGGGGTGCGCGCGTGTCTGCTGTGGGACCAAAGTGCCTCGTGAGGAGTCCCCTGTCCCAAGCCGCTCGCCGGTTAGAGAGTGGGTCAAGGCTGCGTGACTCATGTCCATCAAACGATGATGATTACTGGTGGCGTGCGAGCTCTGCGTAGATTTCACCCATTGATTTGGCGCGGCGTTCACGCTCATTTGGCCGATTTTCTCTACATTGATATCGGTATGAATCTGCAGGTTTTTTTTACTGTTCGTTACGAGTGACATTGAGCGTGCGGTGTGCGTGCGCGCGCCCATCGCGTCCCACTATCGGCGGACGGATCGGTCGGCTGGATGAGAGGGAAAGCGGCCGACCGGTGCGTGCCCGGCCGGCCGGCGGCCCGCACCGGTCGCCCGTCCCCGGCGGTCGCCGCGGCGCGCTGCACCCGGCGGCCCTGCCCCAAATCCCGGCGTGGCCCAATAAAATATAGTTACAATGTCAGGGGCCCGGTGGACGGCCAAGGTCGCCGCCAGGTGTCGCCCGAAGCGATCGATCCTGGACCGGGTGCACGGTGATTGGTCAGGTTGAACTGGACCGGATTTGAGAGAGGGCTGGGGCGGGACCGGTGCTTAGCTGCTCGGTAAACTAGTTATTAACCGCTGATTGCAGGTAATGGGGATGCCGGGAATCGTTTAGAGGATTTACTGTCCGTTGCCTATGTATTACGAAAACTATGGACAGTAGCCCACATATCACAGTTCTTTATCTGAAGCGACCTCAGTTAGATGAGATTTCATTTTTAATGCCAAATGCGGAAAATCAGCGGCCGAACCTTGTCAATATCTAACAAGGTTGACAAAAGACGCACTCAGTGTCTACGTCATCCGTTCAAAGTGCATGGCCGGGGCTCGTTAATTTCCAACGGAGCCACACCTTCCCACTGTTGTGTTTGGAGGCCGGTGGTCCCCGGTACTAGGTGGTGTCGGGAGCAGCACCCCCCCCCCCCCTCCATTGCAAATGGCCCGATTCATGACAGAGCGCGCAGTAGATCGACCCGGTGAGCGTGGATCGACCGAGCAGCGGCGTGGAGCGACGCTGAGGTGTCCGTCAGACTTCCGCGGACGGCGGCACGCGTAGGATATGGTGGCAGACTGAGGTGACAGACTGACAGGCTGACAATGTGGAAGATCGGTGGTCTGACAGAGAAATGATGTGTCGGAGTGACAGAGTCTGATCTAGAGGACGGAAGTCTGACATCATGACAGACTATCTGACGCTATGCCAGGTCGGCGCTCGCGACGGGCGAGCAACGTGACAAAACGATGCGACTCAAATTAACCAGTGACTATCCACCAGTCTATCCTCGCATCAGCCTGTGCGGCAAAGTGGGACCCAATTTGGAGACCTAGCAGCCACCTCACTTTTAAATTTCACCACAAAATATAGATTTTAAGCCGACGCACCGTGGGGACTTTTGCGATCCTAGCACGACATAAGTGGCAAATACGAGTATTTTGATTTACACTTTCTTTATGTTCTTTCTACGCAGAATTGTCCAGTGTATCCGAATCCGACCTTCAATCGCTTTAAAA